TACGTAATTTCTGTGATCATGGTAATTTAAACTAATGTACGGTTGTCGATGCTTTCAGATTGCTCAGCTAGACTGCAGCGACCTGGATCCAGATACCACGTTAACGTACACTATAGTGCCATCGACCCCTGATTTTACTGTAGACGCCACTGGACTAGTAACTGTTGCCACAGGTAGGATTGTGATCTAATGGGAGACGCTTTTGATCGGTCTTGTGTGGTTAACCCGACGGATTGTGTCATTTATTTGTATAAATATGGCTAACAACATGTTGAATACTGTTGTATAACAACTGGTGATACACCTACATACGAGTATCGCATGGGACGATGGTTTGTACTTTTCACTACTGACTATCGGAATCGAGTATCGCCATAGCCATAATAACTTAGCATACACAAAGATATATTATATCACATGAGCGACTTCAATGGCTCGCATGACGTGTTTATTACGCCACTTTATTATGTTGAACACTATATTTTCATTATTCAATTCATTTCAGGTAACAGCATCGACTATGATTTGCAGTCTGTGTACAACTTCAACGTTGAGGTAACTGATGACGAGGGGGGGTTGGAAATTTGTAATATCATTGTGCAGATTCAGCCGGAAAACACAGACACACCAGAGTTCATACCGGCATTTTGGTCAATTGGGCCCATACCTGAAGACACGGACCCCAGCACATCGATAACACAAGTGTCTGCCACCGATACTGATAGTTATCCTCTGGGCGTTCAATTGTACGAAATCATAACTGGTTAGTAACATTTGACTACCACAGGACATTCGAAACATTCATATTTAGGATGTTTATGATTATGGTACACATCGTTTGTTTTAGTACCTTGAAACTGAAATTAATGTGAAAGGTGCCCGATAAATATGCATTCTCGTAGTGCATTCTCGTGGATGTATCATCACACGATCCTTTACTTCACCCACAATAACACGTATACTGTATATTTCGTACCGACAGTTTTGGGGTCTACGGGAACCGATGTTACTTCAGACGTCATCTTCGACATAGACCCGTCAGATGGTACGATTTACATTGCGGCACCCCTGGATTACGAGACTGAGACATACTACGAGGTAGAAATAAGGGCCACGGACGGCGGTGGGGAAACTGGAATTGGAGTACTTACAATTGACATTGGTAACGAGGACGACAACTACCCTTTATGTGCTTTCGACTCCCTTATTCGTTCAGTTCCTGAGACTACAGGTGAGCATAAACGGACACGGTACTTACATATGTAGTAAGGTAATGAACACTAAAAAGTGGCACAAAGTGTCACGAGGTTTTAATTATATAAAATTACGAATACGCTTAATATTTTTATTATTTTAAATAAATACTATTATAGTTATATTTAATAATTTAGTGTTATTGATTCCAATATATGACCTAAGTAATAAGAATTAACTATTTTATCAAAGTATTCGAGTGAAATAAATTGTTATGACGATTATAACCTTTCTCTGCGCATACTTTAATTAATAACGGCTACTAAATTATGTATTTTTACTTTCAGCAACTAGCAGTATAATTGTATCTGCAACAGATCTTAGTTGCACCGATGCAGATGGAGATACTTTGTCTTATACGTTGACACCCTCTTCACCATTCAGTGTGGATTCGTCTGGATACATTACTTTAACAGGTTACTATTCCTATTATCTTAATTCAAAATAAACTGCCATAAACTTAGAAACCAATTTAATCACGAAAGTTTTACTATGATTGAAACTCTGAGTAATTTTTAATTTAGCCCAGACCATATCATGGAGCAATTGGGAGAACTTCAAACCTCGAGGACAATATACAACTAGCAAATATTTGTAGTTGTGAACCATCACTGTTTTACTATTGTTATAATTGTTCCAGGTTCACTTGACTACGAAACGGCAAACGCATATGGTTTGAATTTACGCGTTAGTGATGGTGGTGGACTTTACACTGATATCCCTATATACGTAGATGTAATCAATGAAAATGACAGTCCTCCAGTGTTTGCTAGCAGCACATATCCTGTTACGATACCGGAAGATACAGCGGCAGGAATTGATGTTATTCTTGTCACTGCGCAGAATTTTGACGACCCCACCACCCCTGAAGGACAAATTACTTATTCAATTATTAGCGGTGACCCGGATGGAAAATTCAGTATTGATGCAAACTCTGGGCAAATAAAATGTCTTGGCCAACTTGACAGAGAAACAGAAGCGAGCTACAGTCTTGTAATAGAAGCAAGTGATTCGTTGTCAGTTGATACGACAACAGTCGTAGTCACAGTAAGCGACGTAAATGATGAAGATCCTCAGTGTACCGAAACATCATTCAGTATTGAGGTAGAAGAAACTCCAAACAAGTGGCTATAACATTATGCCCCTAGGCTGTTCTGATGGTGACCTTGGTGACACGCTGACATATAGTCTACTGGTAGGAGACAGCTCTGTATTTAGCGTCTCGACCGGGGACTTGATTTTAACTTCAAGTCTAGATTACGACTCAGGACTAGCAAGGCAGTACGATCTTGAAATAACTGTTGTTGATTCAGCCGGCCAATCACATGTCATAGAAGGGACTGTGCATGTGAAACATGTTAATGAGGATGCACCAGCATTTCAACCAACGAGTGAGTATATTTGTAGATTGATTCTTATCACCCGTATAGCTCACATCTGTTTTGCGTATTCATTCATGTAGGCGACCATTCGCAATTGTTGTTGTAAGTGCATTAACGCCACGGCGCCACATCCAACTTTATTTACGTTTATTTTATTTCAAATTGGATACTCACAATCTGTGTCTAATTTTAAGACAAATTAGGGTGTTATATTGACCAATATACTTTGTTAAACTCGAAATATGCCGAATCAAATACTTCAAAATCAAATCACATGCACACCCATGTTACTCGCCATACCCGAATGCACACATGTACAATGCAATGCTACATGCATTTAAATAATCCATTTATTGTTCATGTTTTAGGTCTGTATTCTGTTGATTTTGAAGAGAACCAAACACCGGATACACTTGTGATTACGGTTGTTGCCACAGATACAGATTCTGATGACACTGAAGACGGTGTAGTTACGTACAGCTTTGCAGCCTCGTGTACCGTGGATTGTGCCATGTTTTCAATAGACCCTGCGAGTGGAGAAATATCGAACTCACAGGAACTCGATCGCGAGCTCAATGATGCGTACACCTTAGTGATTGAGGCTGCTGATGACGCGTTCACTGCAACTGCTACTGTGGAAGTCACCATCATCGATGTGAACGACAACACACCTATATTTGCCAATGATATTATAGAGTATGACAATTAATTATTCAAGTTGTGGACGATTTTGTATTTGTATTTTGGATCGATTATAATGACTATATTATCGCGCTGCAACTGAAAACAGTGCTTTCCGAATTACGAAAAAGAATGTTTCAAGGACTGTTTCGTTTCACCATCGTGTCCCATCACTAACGATTTGAATGCCTCATTATTTATTTACAGGAAAGATATCGAAGAAGGTCAAGGCGCAATTACACTTGTCGAATATATAACAGCTGTGGATAGTGATGACCCTGGAACAGATGACAATGGCGTTGTTACATATTCTATTGTTGGCGAGTAAAATACTACATTATATATATTCTTACAAACGAATACTATTCCTTGCATGCTCGATTGAGTAAGGGGTTGACGATGAAGAACTATGTTTATTTTCGAATCTCAAACAGTTGAATCGGATAACCAAGCTCAATTGATATTATTAGCTAATTACAATTTTGTAATGAATTATTAGGACGTTAATCAGACCCTGCCTCAGTCTCATGATATATGAAAATATCAAACTTGTGTTCCTTGCACAAAACCAGAGTTTAAACAATTATATGTTTTCAATTAATTTTAGATGGCAACGCAGATGGACACTTCTCAATAAATTCTTTCACTGGCGACCTTAAGACAGCCCAGAGCTTGGATTACGAGGAAGTGACATCATATGAATTAAAAATAGTGGGCACTGATAGAAATGGCGGTGTGGGATCCCTGAGTTCCACTGTTACAGTTAGAGTTAACGTACTTCCAAAGAATGAATTCTCGCCATCTTTTAGTGAGAACCCAGTTGAGCGAGACGTTTTAGAAGATGTGGATATTGGTGATTTTTTGTTTCTCGTAAATGCAGATGATAATGATGATGGTGATGATGGTGATGTGACATATCAAATGAACATACATCCGAAATTTCGATTAGACCCCTCAACTGGTGAACTATTCTTGAAGGATAAATTAGATCGTGAATCAACCTCTTCATACACGTTGACGTTAAACGCGGTTGATGGCGGATCACCAGCAAAGTCAGGAGCAACTACCGTCATTATAACAGTAACTGATGCAAATGATAACACTCCTGTGTGTAGTCCATCACATATCTCTGTGACATTCCCAGAAGACACGGCATCGATTATAGCATCTCTTTCATGTACCGATGACGATGATGGTCCAGACAACAATAGACTTACTTATACAATAGTTAGTGAAGATGGTGTCGTAGGATCAGGCACAATATTTAGTTTGAGTGGAGACGACGTCGTTTTAGCGACTGGACTTGACTACGAAACAGCAACAGAACATACTTTGAAAATTCGCGTTGAAGACAATGGCCTTTCTCCGCTCAGTGCAACAGTTTCGATTACCGTAGAAGTAACAGGGGTTAATGAGTATGACCCTGTGATTGCCGCCCTTACACCAATAACAATGCTAGAAAATGCGCCAGTTGATTTATCAGTTATTAAGGATATAGACGCAACAGACGCAGATTTGGGAGAATATGTGACTTATGAAATAATTCCTGATGATCCACGATTTTATTGTGATCCCCTGACAGGTGAAATTTCTCTTCTTAGTGAAATCGATGCAGATCCTGGGCCATTGACCATCTCACTTACTGTCAGGGCTACTGATGATGGACTAGTTCATGCACTGAGGTACTCTGAGGCAACATTAACAATTAATGTGGATGACGTAAATGACAATAATCCTGTATTCCTTGACCATTCATATTATTTTATATGCTCAGAGAATTCTGGAATTGGTGATTCTATTGGCACCGTTTCAGCTACTGATGTTGATTCAGGGGTAAATGGAGATATAAAATACACAATTAGTCCGAATGATGGTGTATTCACAGTAGGCTTAACTTCAGGAGTTATAAATGTGGGTGCTGCATTGGATCTCGAAACGACTTCCAGTTATACGTATACAGTTATAGCTACTGACCAAGGCACAGGTTCCCTGACAGGATCATCTTCTGTTACCATAGAAATAACTGGGTATAATGATGAATCTCCTGTACTTAGTGCTGCAGGGCCTGTAGACATTAGAGAAGATGCAGGATGGGGTGACTCAGTGATCACTGTAGCAGCCACCGATGGTGATGCGGGTGTCGATGGTGATGTTAGGTTATATCATAACCGGTGGCAGTGATGGCAAATTTAATATTGATTATAACACTGGATTAATATCTGTAGCTGGCATATTGGACTACGAAACAACCACAGCGTACACACTTACTGTCGAAGCAACAGACCATGGTATTGATCCAGGTGCACTGACAGATGATATTACTGTGGTGATAAATGTACTGCCTATTAATGATAATAAACCTACATGTAATCCAGTATTATATGCTGTACCAGTTCAGGACAGTGCTGTGGCTAATGACCCCGTGTTAACCCCGGTATGCGAAGACCTTGATTTACCAGGAGATGTATTAACCTACAGTATGGCGACATCAACATATTTCGATATCGATACTTCTACTGGAGAAATAACTGTCAAATCTGATCTAGCCGTTGCCCCCAGCCCTGTGTACAGTCTCTTTGTAGAAGTAATTGATGATGGCACAGATCCGGGAGCATTATCTTCAACATTTACAGTTGTTATAGAACTTCAAGGTATGTCAGATACAATGCAATCTCTTACAAATTTTGAAAGTTATATTTCATTTTGTTTGACTGTTTTACAATTAAAATTATTCACTTGTTTTACAGGGGATAACAAAATGGCTCCTGATTTCGATAGTAATGTATATATTTTGACTGCGATGGAAGATCAAGCTCCAGGCACTGTAATAACCACAAACACGGTATATGCAGAGGATACAGATGTGGGATCTGCTGGTAAGTCACAGCAAAAATTTACCGCTCCATATAACGCAATGTATACGTGCCAGCCTGAACATCACAATAACTCGTAGAATTGCCTCAGTCTTATTTCACAAACGTAACCATTCGAATGATATCATTATATTAATTAAGTAGGAATAGTGTTATAAAAATTACGCAAACTGTTACATGTTGATCATTTCGTTATGTAATGTCTTCTTCTTGTGTGTGTAAATAGAAAAAATCGATAAAAGCTTTAAGTCAGTTATGTAATGAAAAAATATGTTTTAATATTATTTGATACTGCACATCGATAAATATTTAATTATTTTTTTTATTTATTTAAGGTCGTGTCACATACACTATTATTGATGGAAATGACAGTGGAACTTTTCGTATTAATGGAACTACTGGAGAACTGTTTATAGAGAAATCACTAGATCGAGAAAGGCAAGAAATTTATTATCTGAATGTCAGTGCTGAAGACGACGGATCCCCGTCATATATAACATATGTTGGTGTTGAAGTCACTGTACTAGATGTAAATGACGAAGCACCCATTTGCGATCCTCTGCTGTACACGGCAAGCATTGTAGAAGAAGACCCAACTATACTAACAATTGCCACTGTGATTTGCAATGATAGTGATAAAGCACCAACTGATAACAGCGATTTTGAGTTCGAGATTGGAGCTGGCAATGATGGTACTGCATTTAGTATAACACCGGATACTGGTGAAGTCAAGAATGTTGGTGCTTTGGATCTTGAGACCCAGGAATTTTATCAACTAATTATTCATGCTGTTGATAAAGGTACTCCATCCTTAACAGGTACAGCCACTGTGAATGTACAGGTGACTGGTGTCAATGACAACGAGCCGTATTTTAGTCCGGTCACACAGGGAACCATAGTAAATGAAGCAAATCCACTCCAGGTATCATTCTATCAGGTCGTTGCATATGACGATGACCAGCACCAGGACGGCGCTGTCATGTTCAACATTACTGAAGGAAACGATAACAACATTTTTGGAATAAATTCAGCAACTGGAGAATTGCACCTCGTTAATCCCCTCGACCGAGAAACGCTTGACACACACACGTTGACCATTGAAGCCATTGACCTTGCTACTGACCCAGCCCTCCGATTAACTGGAACAGGTACTGTTATTGTCACTGTGACGGATTCAAACGACGAAGCTCCATTGTGTGACCCAATTGAAGCATATGTATCCTTCACAGAAAATGCGGTGCCAAATGATATAATTACTACTCTCAACTGCACTGATGCTGATCTAGAGCCCCCAAATAACGACTTTACACTATCCATACTATCTGGAAATGATGACAATAAATTTTATCTTTTCCAAAATCAGATTAAGGTCACTGACACACTCGATTATGAAGAGCAACAACAATATGTCCTCGAAATTAAACTAATTGATAAGGGCACCCCAACGCAAACTGGGTATACAACATTAACTATTAATATTATTCCTGTTAATGAGTTCGCACCCGTTTATGAGGAAGACACATACATTTTCGATATATACGAAGATGTATCCCTACGGACCACAGTTGGCTCGGTGAAAGCTACTGATGAAGATTACAACGAGGACTACCACGGAATACCGCGATATTACATAAAGAACGGAAACGATGAGAACAAATTTGCCATTGATCCCGAAACTGGTGAAATTTTCACAATTGGTCTACTGAATAGAGAAGTTACGGCAACATACGACCTACTTATAATGGCGCAAGACAGCACTGCTCTACGGAATGACCAACTGGATGTGAACCAGACAGTAACTATCAATGTCATTGATGTAAACGACAACAAACCAGAGTTTCGTCCGAATGCTTATTTTCAAGTTATCATGGAGACCCTACCTCCAGGATCCACTATTTTAATGGTGACAGCAACAGATGCAGATGAAGGAACAAATGCCGAGTTCACGTTTGAGATTGAAAGTGGTAACGTTGATAACACCTTCTATTTTGATGGCGACTACTTAGTAGTTAATAAGAAGGTTGATTTAAATGTAGCTGTTTTTTATCGATTGACTGTAAATGTTATCGATCATGGCACTTATCCTGGACCTCTTCAAAACTATGGCGTAATAACACTTTTGGTAGATTCCACCAATGAGTATAATCCAACATTTGATCAAGAAGATGACATTTTATTAGTATCAGAAGGAACTAAGATTGGTGCTCACATATACACTGCGATCGCTGATGACTTTGATGTTGGTTGTCATGGAACACTTAGATACATTGTGGAAGATGTTGTTCCTGCAAGTGGTGTAAATCATTTCTATATAGATGAACTGTATGGAGAGATGCTTCTATCATCTTATCTAGACAGGGAAGAACAGTCCACCTATGATGTGACGATTACTGCAATAGACGACAGTTGTAACGACACTACTGACATAAGAACAGACAGTCTCGTAGTGCATGTTGTTGTTACTGATGAGAATGACAACTCCCCTGAGTTTACCGAAAGTGGGTATGTGTTCTACGTCACAGAAAATATTCCACTTGAAACACTGATTGATAGAGTACGTGCAACTGACGTAGACGAAGGCGTAAATGCACAAATAGAATATACTATGGATTCCCTATCGTACACTGACAAGTTCACAGTGGATCTTGATGGGGGTGGTGTTACAACATCCGGGGAACTAGACTTTGAGGAGCAACGCGCATATAGCTTTCTAGTTGTGGCAAGAGATAAGGGCACGGAACCCAGATCAACCATTGTTACTGTAATTGTAAATTTACTAGACGAGAATGATAACGAGCCAATACTCTACCCAGATGTCATGCACGTCGCAATAGATGAAAATGTCGAAGAAGGAACACTTGTGACTCTTATTGACGCTTATGATCTGGACAGCACAACAAATGGAGAATTCATATATGAAATTATTGATGGGGATATTAATGACGCATTTGTGTTAGATCCACTTAAAGGGGAACTATATACATCAAATAATATCTTGGACAGGGAGTACATTGACGTGTAAGTTTTTATTTTACGTATTATGTTAATAAGTTTGTTATTTGATAATAGGTATTTCAATAGTATTGAAATTGCCAGCGTAAATCCCGAATAGCTCAGCCATTAGAGGAACCACTTTTTGCATAGTTCAAGTTGATGTCGTTAGTTCGTAACCCTTCGCTGACTTTTTCCAAATATTTAAAAATCTCAAGATGCTGCACTTTGGCTAAAGCTTTACAGGGTTAACCAAGGTGATTTACAATTTGAATATGAATACAACAAAAACAATTTCAATTTGCATATGAATACAACCTTAGTGATTTACAATCTGCATATGAATACAATCAAAGCGAGTTAAAATTTGCATACGAATATAACCGTAGTGTTTTAGGTCTGAATATGAGTACAATCGTATCTAAAGTATGCATAAAAAAGTGCGTGTTTCAAATGACTAAGTAAGTTATACTAACGATGGTGTGTTGTGTTTTAGATACACACTAATAATCAAAACAACTGACATGGGAACGCCACCTATGTTCTACACTGGTACGGTCACGGTCACAGTGCTTGATCTGAATGACAACGACCCAGTTGCAAACCCCGTGTTCTATGAAGAAACAGTTTCGGAAGACGTCTCTATTGGAACACAGCTATTGGACATAGAAGCTACAGATTCCGATATACTTGAAAATGGAAATCTCACATACAGCTTCCTAACCGGAAACACAGCATGTACGTAAAACTATGTCTCTAAAATAGCATTACTAGTATGACTAGTAGTCCACATTTTTATTATGTACTTTTAGCGCGTGTAAAATTCCGCTAATTAATTTTAATTATATAATCACAAATTAAACTTAATAAGAATGGTATATATATATATATATAAAGTTTGATTAACTCTGCTTATATGTTTTACAGCACGGTTTTCAATTTACGAGACTACCGGTGTCATTAGAGTAGCAAAAAGTTTGAACAGAGAATCAGTTGACGAGTATACGTTGTATATACTCATTGAAGATCAGGGAGATCCTGTTCGTTCTGCGACGGCGGTGGCAAGTATTTATGTAGAAGACGTGAACGACTCGCCTCCTAGATTCACCCCCAGGAACAGGGCATTCTCGGTGTTGGAAAATTCCCCAGCCGGGGTCGTGTTGGGTAATATGTACGCGGAAGACCAAGACCTTGGAACCAACGCAGAGTTCGAGTTTGCCCTCATAGCGGGTAGTGGCTTTGGAAAATTCAGTGTTAATTCTATAAATGGGGCAGTGACTTTATTAGTTTCAAATTTAGATCGTGAAGCTCGGTCATCTTATCAACTAATTGTTAGAGCGCAAGACAATGGTTCGCCACCGCTATTTACCGACTCTACGGTGACAATTGCCGTAACTGATATAAATGATCATACACCTACATTTGATAGAGCTTTCTACGATGCTGAAGTAATAGAAAACGCCGTACCTGGAACATCCGTTCTGATAGTCCATGCAGTCGATAAGGACACTGGAAACAACGCAGCTCTAACTTACTCCATTGACTCGACCAATGTCGAAGCAAACACATACTTCCAAATAGACTCCGACACCGGTATAATAAGAGTGCGAGACGGTATCGACTACGAAACTTACAAAGAGATTATCTTCGACGTCAACGTCGAAGATGGCGGTGATGTTCCCCTCGCCGATGTTACACGAGTCACAATCTCCGTCGTGGACGAGAATGACAATGAACCAATAATATCACCATGTTTTATAAATAACGAAATATCGTACCTTCATGCAACTTCTAAAGGCATCCTAGCAACATACGCCGCATCGGATGCTGATGCCAGTCAACAAGTAACATTTGAACTGTCACCATCATCTTATGTGTTCCAGATTGGATCCAATACAGGTAACTGAATTCCACGCAATAGTTTTATTTAGCCGGTATTATTACTGCCAATATTTATATAGGAATTTATTAACAAATGTTGATAGGTTTAATCTTCTTAGTACATCCATGGTTTAATGAAGCATTAGATATTTAAAAGGTAATACATGTACGTTGTCTTTACGTATTTGAGATGGAAAGTTTAAAGTTATTTATTGTGCGCATTATACTCCCTGACTCATCGAATCACATAAATGTGACATACTCGTCGACAAAATGTGCGTGGAATTGATATATGAACGTAGAAATAGATGATAAACCAGTGTAGGGTAAAACTACAAGTACATTGAATGGGATATCACTGTATATTGTATGTATTCCATAATTATGTAAGGTATATAACAAACATTAACACAAATGTACTCACTTATCTATTTATTGCACACATACGCCACCTGATACATTTTTTTAACATAATTCAATCTTTCATTATAAAGCTTGAAACTTTAATTATTCTATCCAATTCAGGGACAATAACAGCGATACCCGGCGTTGAACCTGCTGATGACGCCAAATATGTTCTGCAGTTATTAGCACGAGACGATGGCTATCCCCAACAGACTTCTGACCCTTGTTTAGCACGTATCGACACGTTCAACCCGTATATTTATATGTTGGACTTGCATATGAGCAGCACCACACAATCCGAATTTGAAGGCAAGAAGGTGCAATTACTTTCTTCACTGAATTCACTGCTGCGAGGACGCGTATCGTCGGCTCGAGTTGGAATATCCCATTTATCAGGAGGAGGGGCAAGTACGGCATCTCGGAGACTTCTTGCTGCCGAGTAAGTTCATGGTCTAAGAAATTACACTTCTCATTAGAAACAAATTAAAAAAAAAAACTGTCAGTAATGATATTCCCACCATTAATTGCATTTAATGTACTTATTGTTCCCAATGTTAATAGTGACCTCGTCATACACGTATATGCCGTAGAAAACTCAGAAGCAGACAATGTATATGGTATTGAGAACGAGAAAGTTTTCTTGACCAATGAATATTTACATTCAATCTTCGCCGCTGATATTTTTGATAATCCTGTAGGAACGCTTAAAGGTAAGTATTCAATACTGGGGAATAACTGAAGTAAACCAGGTATAATTCAAAGCGCGGTAGTCGTCGCGCTGCGCATATGCGAGATATATGGGTCTCATATAAGCGAAGATGGCGACTTTGACTGTTGCGCAGATCAACGAGTACGAACTGAGACGTTTCCAAGCTTTAATTAGGCAATTTTCATGTGACTGGAAGGTATCGAAGAAAACGCACCTACGTCAAACCTCATACTTGTGATTTCCATTTGAAGAACGCATTGGATTGTGGGAAAATCAATGTTTATCAACACAAATGTCGCACGTGCGCAGCGCAACGACTACCACACTTTAACACTTGGAAGTTGTATCCCACAACGAGTGGGAGATGACCTACGTAAGCCAGGAATATGAAAAGTGCATCACACCACATGCTGAAAATAAAAAAAATCTGAACTGAAGTAAACTACGGCCAATTGAACACACATGTAAGCTGAGTATCTTGTACTGTATCTTAATATTTGTAAAATATGGTAGTAATAGTTTGAATTCATTAATTTTATTCCGTTTCTAGAAAATGATATATTTAAAGTGCAAAAATACCCAGGCGAAGACTGGTACCGTACTCCTGAAGGCATAGCTGGACTGACAATGGGAATATTGGGTCTCATCGCCTTATTCACATTACCATGTCTTTGTTACTGCTGTTGTAAGGCAGGTTTATGCGATGGCTGTTGTACTGGGCTTGGGGACAGATGTCGTTCTTGTAGAGAACGGCGACCAAAAAAGTAAGTGTAGTGATATATCACTGTAATTCTAATGTGCTACAATCAAGCTTGCACTAAAAGTGAAAATAGCGGAGTGTTTGTAAGGTGTTTTTTAACACACTCACTTAACGTCGTGCAATTTATAAATGAGCTATAAATCATGTCCTATTGTATCATTGTAGACATGTTTTTATTGTCGCTTGTATATTGTGTTGCATTATGGTAATTTTTTCTATTCAATTGAAAGTCATCTATTCTCACTTTACAGACCAAAGGCTTACAGTGAAAAGAAACCCGCGGCTAAGAAAGGCGCATGGGACAAAAAATCAGACAAATCTGGTAGGAATTATTATAATGTATTCTGATTTCCGCCAGTCTCTATAGAGTTTTATGAAATTAACAAAAAAATTATATCCGTAGTGCGAGTTATATGCATTCACTTTCGCACCATGTAACACCTTTGACAACGACCTGCCTCTGTTTCATTTCAAAGGGGACGGAAATGGTAATGATAAATCAAAAGACAAGAAAGGAACTCAACCCAACGTACTTGGAACATCAGCCGTATGTGACTATTTATTCTTTTTTTTAAAATTATTAGTATAACCTCTTGCATGGTGGAAATTCGTTCGTTCTATTAAATAATGGAAACAAAATCCATTTTTGTATCACAATTATTGGATTCAAAGTTGTTGCTTAAATATTAATTTGCATATTATTCAACAACATTTATTAGTTATTCACACGATAACTATACGCACACATCTTACATGATATGCTCACTATATGCTAAAATGTGAGAAATGAAGTTTGAGCCATATTGACACGACATTTAAAGGGCGGTGGTCGTCGCGCCGTGCCCTGTTCGATATGGGACTTTTAGCGAACGTATACAACGCGTGTAAAATA